ATTCAGATGACATGCATTTGAGAGAAATATTTACTTGACAAGTATTTTCCTCCCTGAGTGTGATTGGTAGACAGGTTTTTTTTTTTAGGATGAGTAAGTCCACTTTGAAAGGAAAACGTGTCTAACGATAATATATATTTTCAACGAACAATCGATACTTTCGATGTTTAACGTTACGATTACCGATAACACGAACAATATCGTCTGTAACGTCGAACAATAAACGACAGCCTGAGAAGCTTCTTTAAATCAGCCATCATAAATTTGCTAGATTAAGTATTTTAAGTTTATGAGCACTCAAGATGAATACTACTACATAAACTTCTGTACAATAGGTATTTAAACATTTTAGAGGATGCATGATCCAAATTGGTACATAATAATAAAAAGAAAGAAAGAAATTATATGTAATAGACTGCGGAAAAAAAAAAACAGAAACATGTGTCTTTGCAAATTAACGACATAATCCTTATCATTAATACGATAAAAGACGTTTGATGTATCGATCAGTTTGTACAAATAAAAGTATATAAAAAATAAAGTGACGACGAGACAGATTCGGAAGATTGGGGTTGAATAAAGGAAAAAAAAAAAAAATAAAGAAAAAAGAAAAAAAAGATGTATTTGTTGTATAAATATATGAGGCACCTTTTGATATACTCTCTCACGTTTGGACGACAGGATTTGGCTTTCTCAGCTTCGAGGATGAAGATGCTGTGGACCGATGCGTAGGCGAGCATTTCGTCAACTTGAATGGAAAACAGGTATAGCATACCTACACACTAGTCTATATTACCATTTACCACTAGATTACTGTAATGTAAAATAATAATAAGTACGAATTGTTAATTTATAATTTACTTATATTATGTATCGCATAGTTTCTACATAAATCATTGTTCTCTAGTTATAGTACTTATTTTATTTTACACGATTTTCTCATCATGTGTTACTCTTAACGATTGTACAATTTAGTTCTAATTATATAAGTATCAATTTAAAAAGAAACCATATCTAGAATTATCGTATATATATTTATGCGTTAATGTGGTGGCAAGTCAAAAATTAGTATATACTTTAGAATTTATGTAAGACTTGGCGAGTTTTAATGGTTTAATTATACGATTAACGGACCGAAAAAAGAGAGAAAAGAAAAAAGAAAAGAAAGTGGAAATTCGTTAAGGTATATATATATATAAATGGGATTGATAATTTTGTTCGATCGATATCGAAAAAGAAAAGAAGAATCCTATTTAATTATCTCTCTCCGTTAATTTCAATTTCACCAAGGATCAAAACGATCACGATGTTTCATGCAGGTTCGTTCCGGGTATTTTCTGATTTCAGGTTGAAATCAAACGTGCGGAACCACGAGACTCTTCTAGCAAAATGAACGATAATCATCAAGCTCAATGGGGACCACCGCAACAAGGTGGCCCTCCGATGGGAATGGCTGGGAATATGGGACCTATGGGTGGTCCAAATGGACAAATGGGTGGACCTATGATGGGTGGACCCATGGGTCCACCGGGAAATATGATGCAGCAGTATCAAGGCTGGGGTACCAGTCCTCAGACTGGCGGATACGCTACTGGTTACACTACTCAATACAACTCTCAAGGCTGGGGTGCACCTCCTGGCCCACCTCAACAGCAACAAATTCCACCACCGCCACATCCTCAATGGGGTAGCAGTTACAATGTCCAGCCTGCAGCAGCTAGTCAAGGTTACGGAAGTTATGGTGAGTTTTTCAGATTTATCAAAACGTAATTTTCATACACATTTGTAATTTTCTTCTTCTTTTAGAATTATAATAATCTATATCGATACGATTGTTTAGTTATTGTGAGAAATATACGATAGGTTCGGTTTCTAAGTACAGTAAGACAAAATTAGGTATACGATTTATATAATGGACTTATGTATGCAGTCTTTTTCATTCACGATTAATTTTCGAACGACACCAGTGCCGATTTCGACGATTTCTAATCGAGAGCATAGCATTTGAAATTTTTACACAGTGCGAATGTTATTCGTAATTTAATAATCGTACGATGAGTCATTGATTTTGTTTGTGCATTTGTCTCTTTAAGGATAACACACGATAAGGTCATAGTTATAAAAGGTTAACAATAACTTTGATCCTGTCCTCTCCCCTTCCACCCTCCTCGTAGATGTTAGGAAAAAAAAAAAAAGATAAAGATAAGAACATGAGAAAACAAATACCTATAGTACACAATTATTTATCATTTTTTCGATGCCCTCTGGAGGTCATAATGGAAAGAGAATACAATAGGACATCATAAATATCAAGTGTGTATCGAAATTATGTCAGTTCAGACTCATTATTGATTTGTTGTTTGCATTTATTTTTCGTAGTATCACGTGTCTTCAACTATCGTTACAAATTGTCCTCTCTCTCTCTCTCTCTCTCTCTCTCTCTCTCTCTCTCTCTCTCTGTTTTCTTTTCTTTTTCTACTTAATCGTTAAAGGAACAGTTTCACGTCAAAAATAATATTCCTTTTTCATTGAGTCTGGATCGATATAACACATTTTTTCTTATAATAAACACTTCCGAAACATTGAACCTCATAATATTATCCGCAAACTTTATGTTTGTTTTTCTTACGCCGAAAGTCCAAGTACCGTGAACAGCGACAAGAAAACGTCAATTTCGATGCTCGTAAGAAAGATAGTGTTAATACATTTTCTCCATTACAAATATACATCTTTATCGCGGCTCACGATTCGGTGTTCTGTTATCTATGTGAGAAAACCAAGCATGAACGTTTAAGTCGTACGACATTGAACGTTTAAAAGACACTGAAGAACATTTCATAAATAAGAACGTGCCGTTTAAGTGCCAAGAGACCACCGCCAATAGCGGCGAAAAATTACCGGTATTTAAATTAGGTATCGACCTCGTCGCTAATTCCATCGCGTACAACCATTTATCTTTGCTGAGATAATAAAGAGAGAAAAAAAAGACACACGCACACACCTCACAGGTAAGAATCTGTAGTGTGCAAAAGAAAAAGAAAAAGAAAAAAAAGGAGACAATAATTTGAAGAGATTCCTTCGGCACCTTTGCACGTGTGTTCGAATGGAATTTTGGATAAAACGAAATGAAATTTTGAATGAAACATCGTGGTTGGTTGGTGCGTTCTTGGCACAGAAGTGGTCGATCAAGTTAATCAGTAAGCTTTGAAGAAGACGGTGGTCGGTGACACGTGTTTTGTGTGATTGAT